AATGTTTTTTAAAAAGCTCCTTAGAGACATCATTGTCGGAGGTCACATTTTAATATATAAGATTAGACATATAGAAACTTTAAGTCAACGTTTCACTTTTACTAATCTCAGCTCTTACAGTATTTATGAAAACTTATCTAGTCATACACAAAACATACTAGTCATAATATTACATAATACTAGTCATAACTTGCATAATTATTCTGCAATGTTATTTATTTTAGATATCGTATATATATATTTATATATTTGTATCGTGTATAAGGTGTCCCACAACCATCGAATGTCCTTTTAATAACAGATTCTTTAATCAATTCGAGAACGATCTTTTCCTCAAATGAAAATGTCAAGACATCAATAATTCCCGAATTATAATTAAAAAAAGAGCTTTTTGCAAACTAAATTTTGTGGAGTTGAAAGATTAACAAAATTACATTTTTTAATTAATTTCAAGCGGAGTTAATTTTAATAGAGAGAGAAAATTTTAATTTAAAGCTTAATTACAAAGATATATATGATAACAAAAAATGGAAACTTGCAAAAAATAACGTTCTTCGTCATCTTTTTGTTGAGGAAAAATCATCTTCAAATTGACCAGAGAAACTTTTCTAATATTTTTGTTTGATAAATGCATGAAACAAAGAAATACGAAGGACAAGACTGTTTTATAAAAAAAAAAAAAGATTTATTCACAGAGTGTACAAATAAAAAACCTAAAACTTCCTATGAATAATATCTCTTAATCGTACACAATGTACATGTTACAAATTATAATTTACCATTCGTGATTTTCCAATATACAGAGTCACAAAATGTTTAGCAGTCGAAACATCGGAAGATCGACTAGATCGACTTTTTATTCGAAAGGAAGACATATAGATAATTTCCCTAAAGCACGAATAAAAATTATTAAACTAATTCTAGGAAGCGCGAATCATTCTCTTTCAGATTTCACAGCTTGGGATCGCGTTGAATCTTGGAGAACCTCGCGTTCATGTCTAATCAAATATTATGCGTGTTTATGCAATAAACTATCCTATATAACGAAGAGTAAAACACAGTAAAATATCGATGTGAATCAATTCGATTGGCTTATCTACGATATTCCACAAAAGCTGGTTAATCCAGAACAATATCTTATTGTTAGTTAAATGGAAATCATAATAAACTCGTGCACACACAATACACACAAAATGCTCTACATAATCTTTAAAATACTACTGCGTCAATTTTAACACAACTATGGTTAATTTGCTTATACCAAAATGCACATATCGTTAAATGTCCATTTTTCTCTGCGCATACTATATTGCGTTTATACTAAAAATACACATTCTAACAAGTTTATAAGACGATATATTGACTTAAACAAATCTAATCTACAAATATGTGCGACGAAAAAATTCCTTTACATAAAACAATTCAGTAGTAAAGATAAAATCATTAATGTTTTCCAATTATTACACATTTGAATTATTTCATGCGATAACTGTAATACTTGTTTTATAAAAAGTTTATCGAAATAATAAGCCCTCTTTTTTATTAGGTTTTAGTCGTTAATAAACTAGGAGCAATAAAACTCCTATCTCTATGATAACAATAATAAGCTATTTCAGTATCTATTAATAATAACATTCTTTTTCGATTATCTGTTTCGTTGCAAAGAACTTTTTTTGTAACTTACCTATCTAAATAATATAATTAATATAATTTCATATTTAGAGATTATAATTATGGACATATTGCATTGCTGTTTAAAATATAAAACGAATTAATCGTTATGAAGGAAGCAGCTATAATATACCTAATATCTATCCTTTATAAAAATATAAGATCTTAAAGTATCCAGAGATAAATTTTCTGCTGATTCTGATCATCGTTAAGGCCGGATAATTAATGTGTGCATTATGTTTCAAAATCTCAAGTGTTACATGTAATAACTCTTGCATATACCTAAACATTTCCGTAATTTTCCATCCCTCTTTCGTCAAGACAATTGTAAATTCGATGACACTTGAACAATAAAATATGGCAAAAGAGATCATATATTTAATAAAAAATGATCACAGCACGGAATAAAAGTTTTGCAAGATATTTTAAGAGAAAACTTAAGAAAAAATGCTGAAATATAAAAAAAAAATGATTCATTTGCATAGCGACTTTTGTATTTCTATGCGCTATTATTATCACAAACTGTTTTCGACATTAAATTTTCCCATCTATTCTATATACAAATCTGTACGTATATGTATTTAGCATTCAGGTAATTTAATCATCGAGTATAATATAACCGAGCAACCCTATAAATTGCTGACAAACTATCATCTTTCGCGATACGTAGAGGGCTCCGAGCCATTCCCGAGCAGGCTTTCCAATTGTTGCTCATTAAAAAGGTATAGTATCAATACCATATCGTAGACCTATCGTTGAAGTCGATCCGAGACATTCGCAAAACTTCGCCGACGATCAGTGTCAAAGATATCCATGTTCGAAAATTTGTGCGTAATCTCTATTACGTAAAAGAAACCTTAAAATCAGAGGAACAAACTATTTCTATCCGCATATTGATTACCGTCAAGATTGAATCGACGCCTTACGCTTCTGCCAGCTATCTCGCGTGTAAGAAAAAATAAAATCGGCTCATTTTAATTGCCTCATTTTAATTTACTACGAGAATTTTAATAGAGATAGTAATCTATTTTTTTCTTAATAATAGTGTAAATATTCATACCCAGAATTACAAACAAACAGATAAATAATCTCAATAGTGCCGCGAGTGTACAGCCAATTATTGTATAAGCCATTTGTTTAAAACATAGCATAAATCGATCTTTCAATATCTCATTAATTCTCCATTTATATCAACTGATACAATGAGCAATGTTATCTTATATTTGATATCTTTTTTCCATGCACTGATGGTAAAATATTTTGATATCATATTTTTATGCGAAACTGTATTGATATCATTATCTCATACTAAAATTCTTCGATTCATCGTGGTTCAAAACTCGATTTATGCCGCTTTCCAAACGGCAGGTTGATTTCTTTTTAATGCTGTTGCACGAGAGTAGGCCCGTTGCCGGGGTTTCTCCAAGGATCCGGTATATCAAAATGATCGGGGACCGTGATCAGTGCGTCGGCAGCGGTACGATCTTCTTTGCAATTTTGGGGCTTGACGCGAGTCGTGTTAACGCATTCGATCGGCAGCTTGAAGAACTCGAGCTTGTAATTGTAGCCCTGGCTGGCGATGCGGATTATCGTGTGTAACGGCACCTCCATGTAGGGCAGCTCTTCGGGTTTCTTATCGAGGAAGAATCCGATGATGCAGCGCAGTACCGCTTGATGAGACACCACGAGGACGTTATTGGAGCGCTGCAACTCGGCCATCACCGGCTCGACACGTTGCATCGCGTCGATGTAGCTCTCGCCCCACGGATAACGATAACGCAGCTTGTCTTGATCGCGCCAGGCGAACTCCTGTCGTGAAATTACGTGGACGATGAGAAATAACCTTGTCACGCTATATTATCATCCGATATTTCTAGCTATCTCTGATAAAAATTAATATCGCTCACACGAACGATGGTCTAATCTATGATTTTATACACGGATACTTTTTAATCGGCGATCAATATTTTGCCTCGAGCGATTATTTGAGTTTATTGGACGATCTCGATCAATAATTACCTGTGGGTAATGCTCCTGCATTTCCTCGTAGGAGAGGCTCTCGCACACTCCCGCATGAAGCTCGTTCAAAGCCGCTACGTGTTCCTGAGGAGCTTCGATACCACGCGCTGTTGCGATTGTTCTGCGAAGGCGACTGGTGAGAACCCGAAGATCAGGAATACGCATGGCATTAAATTTGGTTGATAAAGCTTGAGCGTAACGCTCGCCCCTGGGACTTAATACCGCGTCACCGCCGACTTTACCGAGCACATTGTACTCGCTTTCACCGTGCTGTATATAACACAATATAAAAATATGAATTAGAAAATGTAAAATCACAACTGCATATACGGAATAAGCAGTATCTAAATATTTACACAAACAAATCCGAGGGGATAATTCCCAAAGATACCGTATCTTTTTTAATACAATTCATTTTTGTGTCATAATGCAAAATAATTGCTCACCCTCGAGAAATAAAGAGTGTGAGGTTTAAGACTGACATCTCCGAGGTATCCAAGCACGGTGGTTTCAATGTGACCGGACACCTTGCAGGTCTCAATGTCCATGGTAGCAGTGTCGATTCTGATCCTGGGGTAGATTCTATCGTCCATCGGCTCATACGATCGGACGTAAAAAGCGATTTTCGAGCGCAGATCTTCCGCAGCCACGGTGACATCTACGCCTGCATAGTCGGCGCTATGTCTCACGATCTCCTGTTGATTATGCTCCAGGACTTCCGGATCGTCGCAAACGCATTCGATGAATAGAACGCGATATCCGAGTTGACCGGAGAAGTAATCGTGGACCTCTGTGCGCTGCGCTCGCGTGATCAGCATAGCGTCCAGGAGCTTGAAATAGGGAAGATAATAACGGTGCAATTTTTTACGATATTATTGACAGGCAGAGTCGACTAAGTCGAAATCTTAATGGAAATGAAACGTTATTCGACGAGAATAATGTTGCGGTCTCTCTACAAACATAATCACGTAAAGGAAATTGCCATAAATACATTCCGTGAATACTTACCGCTACAGAATTTCCGGATGCGAGCCACGCCGAGCAATCTAGCATGGCATCTCTCTGTGCGAGAGCCATTAACGCATTGTTTGCCGCATTATCTGATCGGAGGAGTTCACGTGATATATGAGGTTCGACTCGTTTTCTTCGATAATCATTCACGCGAAACACTGAAACGAGATTTATGGTGCATTGTAATTCACGAAACAATTTTTAAATGCGTATGTTTAATTAACAATAAAAATCAAACACGATATACATGGTTGCAATAAATCTTTGTAGAGTCATGTAACAGATGTGTTTAAACAAAGTAGTATTTATCTAGAGATATATATCATTAAATATGCATTTACCTTTTGTGGTTACGCCATTCCAATTAAGTCTGCGAGCAAGACTCTGGCCGATTTGGCTTTTCCCACGAGCTGGTAAACCGCAAATGGCTATAACAACTCCTACAAATTTGCGTGATGACTTCGCTACTGCCGGCATTCTTGCTGCGACCTTTTCCTTGCCGGGATCTAAGTAGAAAATAGACAAACTTGAAAAAGTTATATATTTATTGATTATGCAACTTGTGCAAGTACTGAATTTAGCATATTAGCGACCAAAGATTATTTTGTGCCGGGCTAGATTTATATTAAAATATTAAAGAATAATTTATTAAAAGTGTACTAAAATGTACAACAAATATTTATCTTAGAAATATCAAAACTTCTGTAATATTATATACAAATCGACAATGTGTTAAAATCGTATTTTGTTTTCGATTAATTTAATTTTTTATAATAAATAAAGAATACATCGGAACGATATAATCTGGCAAAATATATTTTCGGTCTCAAAATCTTGTTTCGAAACGTTATCAAAATTTTTGAAAATTTACAGAGCAAAACCTAAATATAATGTTATTAGTCAGAATAATTTCGTTGAATAAGCTTGCTATACTAGTGAGTATATTTTGGCAATATCTGATTTTGTGGCTACAAATATAATCAAAGTAACATGAGAATGATTAGGTATATGTAATTCACAGTACATGACGATGTGACTTTGGACCTGCAAAAACGTAATTCGCTTTTCTTCAAAATAACATTGAACATAAAATGTTTATGATGTCAAGCGCGTATGTAAGCGCGTCAAGAGTTGTGGAAGTAAATAAAATCATTAAAAAAATATTGTTTATCATCAGCTTCAATTTTGTATTTGTTCAATTTTTACGTTGCGTCACGCACTTGCAAAAACATCTAATTACGAGTACGAAGCAATCTAAAGCACAATATGATGTTATGAGACATCAAATTTTTCTATGCGCAGAAAAACAGTTTCACATCATAACAACCGTTAATTTCTTATTAAGGCTATTTGTAAAAAAGATTATAATTATTCCAATGTTCCTGAGTCAGAAAACTTGTAGAATGTTTTCTAGACAAGACTAGGGAATTCAAAGTTTTTTTTTAGCATAAGTAAACAACAATGATTAAATAGATTAGTCAGTGAATGGCGAAAATTTAATGCAAATTCTCGAGCGCTTAGTGTCAACGGATTACAAAGAAGCTTACTGCGTGTTGAAAAACGAGAAGGAAAAATAGAGAATATATATATATAAAGGAATTAATTCTACATATTTAAAATAAAACCTTAAAATCTCGTTATTTCTTCCATGTTATGTTTTTGAATCTGATAATAGTTTTAACATTAAGATACGCGGATGAATAACAAATATTTACCTTATTTACTTATTTTGTGTTTATAAAGCAGCGTGCAAATTATCTTACCTAACATACACATATTTCCGTAGAAGTATAAAGATTACTGTGCGACTCTCGAACAGCTGACAAGAACGTCAGAGTTAAATGACAGACGACGAAAGAATCAAAACTTGATTGTCCTGCACTCGTTCTACGTTCGATATGTAAATCTCACCAATACTGAGACATCGAATGAGCGGGCAATCAAATATGTATGATGCCTCGTGTCACCATTTGTGTTCCCACCGGGAACGAACTTTATATTTAGAATTACGAATGCGCGTGCACATCAGTTTCGTTTGGCTTTTCCTTTACCAAAACCAATAGTAATTCACTTTTTAAACGCGGCAAAATTACAAAACAACAAAACAGAATAATTATTGTAGTTTCTTTAAATTTTTCGAATGTGCAGTATGTGTTTCATTATCATTAACAATTTTTAAGTGCTGAGACAGCACTTAAATTACTACATTGATTAAAGCTATACACGTGCGCGAACTAAATTGATAATTTTATAATCATCATTATTGGGTAATTATTATTACGGTTATATCGCAAGCAAAACGGAATGGCAGCTTAAGAGAAAATGTTATCTGTTGAAATATAACAAGCGCTCTTATCTTTTTTTTTCTATATATTAAAATTTAGAATGATACAAAAGTACTTCTTCGAATTCGTGTCTCAATATTATCACGAAATAAATACAATATACTATTTACTATTTAATGACAAAAGTGACGAATATTTAACGGATCAAGAATAATATAAAATTATTTTCAACACTGAGATTAATAAGTTTAAAAATGTTTTGATTTAAGTGTTTAGTCTATGAAAAAATATGATTTAATAGTAATTATTAAAAAATTATAACTTATAATGTGTTATATCATCTGATTACTTCAACAACTTTTTTTTTATATTCGCGGAAATATACAAAAAAATTACAAAAGAAATCATAATAATTTTTACATTTTCTGTACTTGTATAATTTACTATGAGATAAGGTACAAATATGTTCGGTTTTTTTGGGACGTAGTGATAAGTGACGAGTGATAAGTTATCGATTTCTCAATGCCATTCTGGAATGATAAAATGAAATATGTTTCGGTATGTACGGATTTATCATCACGGATAGATAATATTTACCGACATATAATGTTTGGTTACCAGATAAAAAAGAAAAATTTCTTGATGTGTAAAAATATATGTAAAATATTTTTTTCACTCTCTTTCTCTGTTTCTCTTTCTCACACACACATATACACATAACCGCGTGTGTGCATGCAGTTTGATATAAAAATATATTATTTAATATTAAAAATTTGAAATTTTTTTTATCTTGTAAAAATGTATATGATCGCACAACGTTACACATATATCTATGCAATTAACATATATATAATATTTTGTTATACAGTAATATATAATATATATAATATTATTATATAAAATGTTCACGAAATATTCTATCATCGTTTTTATATTATTTGAAGATTCTTTTATAAATTCTTTGTACTTTTCGTAACAAAGCAATTCTCACATTTATCCTTTGAATTGATATGTTTAATTATTCCACCTAACAATAAGTATGCTGCATATATGTGAAAATTGCATATTTTAATAAAAAATGTTATGTTATGAAACAGGATATGATATTTATGTATCATATACAGAAATTATAGATGCAATGCTTAGGTTCGTATATGAGTAACTCATTAATCTTTAATAATACATTTTAACCTTATATTTTTTCCTCTTGACTCTCTCTCTCTCTCTTTCTCGGACGCGATATTGATTCTTTCATTGATTACATTCATAGGATTACATTCCAAGATGTATTAGCATTGTAAGAATCCGATGTTATGTGAAACAATGTCGTTCGTAACATGAGAATAATGTCGCAAATAAAAGTACGGATGTTGTAATAAAAGTGAAACGTACATCGATGAGAGTTAATAATTACATCTGCATTCTCGAGTTTGCATAACGTGTACGAAAAAAATTTATAAAATAGAATATTATTTATATTTTTTTTTATGCATTGATGAAAGTCCCGCGTATATAAGAAATAAAATTTGAAAATTAAGTTTAATATTTCATGAGAAAATTGCATTTATACTTATTTATATTCTTTATAATTTTAGCCTTCTAAAGCGCGTTCCCTCAAAGCATATTAGAAACAATGGCAGTACAATATAAACTTATACATCTTTTTTTTCATCTTAAACATGCGAAATTTGCTTTTGTTAATTAGACACAAGAAATGGCAAATAAAGTATAAAATACAATGTCAGCAGAATAGTGCTGATTACGATACTACAGACGATGACCTCAATATGCGAAGCATTATTTTCCTTTCACTTTTCATTTCCTTCGAATTTCATTATAAACCGGCTTCTAACATAACGTAAAAGATTCCCCAGTGTCCCTTACGTTACCTATGCAATATATGCGTTCTATGCATATATGTATATCTTTTACAGGGGAACATATTCAAATATGAGAGAATAAAAAGCATAAATAATAAGTTGGTTTCTGCCTATCTCAACATCAGCTGATGTTTGTTGTGATATAACGAGCGAAATAAATACATGTATAAATGCATATAGATAGCGTGATAATGGTCTTTTAAAAAACAATTATATTATCTGACTAAATGAAACTATTCAAACAATCGTGTTAATTATATTGCATACAACGCAATAGATAATTTAATAAGAAAATTATGCTAGCATTTATGAGAGAAAAAATTATAGATATAATGCTCTTAAAAATTTTACTAATATATTTATTTTTTTTAATTTGGTTTAGTAAAATAATTTAAATATATATAATTATTTTTTGTGATTACATTTCTTGTTTAATTAAGAATTTATTATATATTTCAAAAGCTTTTTTTAAATTCTTCATTTGTAATATATAAATTTTAGATACTTTGCAGTATGAATCTAAGAAGAGTTACGCAACAACAATATTTCGGTTGTAATTAAAACTTTGATCTGTTACAATTTTTTATCTTAATTCTCTCCGTTTTTTCTCAAAAATTAGGTAACAAGATGTTCTCAACCAAAAGCTTAATATTTATTTAATGACTTATACATTTATTTAATGACTTATCCATATATGTGTTTCTCATACATTTTTTAATTACTTTCGTCGGCTGTGTCATTTAATTGTTTAATTTAGATAAGTCGCTTTATCACCGTACGTAGAAACAAATACTTAGAGAGCATGCGATGACGTAGAAAAAAATACGAATTATATAAGCGGACGTCACAACATTCCGTTGACATCAAGCATAAATTTACCTTGATGCTCTTCTGCGTTAGGAACCATTGTGGCTGCGTCAGCGTTCGAGGGTGTTCCCGTGTTAGATGTCTGTTTCCCGACAAGATCGTTTCTTCTCTCCTGCAGGATGCCGGCTTGCAGGGCTAGTTTTCTGATCGCGAGACAATAACCCAGTAACGGAGCCGCCAGCAGGTCAAAACATGCGGCGACCCAGGGCATAACCGGGGAAACCCGTATGACGGAGATCAATCGGTCGTTCGGATATACGGTTCTCCTCCCTCTCTCTCTTGATGACAATTATAGTTGACTAAGGGATAATCGCGAGGATCCTTGGAACAAAAGGAAGCCCGATACGGCGAGCCGTTCCAAAAGGCCAACGAGCAAGAGCCACCTCTACTCTATCGCGCGAATATCTCTCTATCCGCGAGTTATAGCGCCAGTCTGGCTGGTGTTTCTGCTTCTACTTCCTGATCAAGCTCCCGGCTAAAGCTCTTCCGTGTGCCGTATTATAGATAGCAGATCCTCCCTCATTCCAATTTGCTTGATCCTCACCTCTGGAGCCAGTTTGCGAGCTTCCTTGAAATCGGTCAGGTAAAGGCCCTGGTCTCTAGACCGCGGCGTGCCGCGTAATTTTTCCCGCTTCCTCGCGTCCGTTCCTCCCGCTGCTGTTTTCGATGATGATGTTGTTGTCACTGCTGATGTTGCTCGTTGACGACAGTGCGCGCGCGCAGCCGAGTACACCTGCTGATAATTTACATAGTAACAGCGACACCTCGCTCCAATCTCATCGATGGCTTTACGATTCTGGAGCCTTCGTGATTTTGGGCTTTGAGTCGAGGTCACTGTAGTCGATTGCTCCGACACTCTCCGTGCTTTACGCCCCAATTCTCTTCCTCTTCCTTCTCTCTTCCTCTTCGGCTTTCTCCTACGAACGACGCGCTATTGTTATGTAGGTTTTCGGCCAGCTGGTACTAGAGAGAAATTTCAGCTACTGCTTCTCGAGACTTCTCGTAAATGCAACGATTCTTCAGCTTCAGCTCTTCTGCTTTTGTTTCAGAAAATACACTCTATATTGCAACGCAGAGCGCAAGTGTGCTCATCCGGACAAAAATAAATTCCGCTTGTTGGGCGAACGGTCGATACTGTACTTGTCTGCTCTCCAACGACTAGTAGTTCTGGTTCCGTCGCGGCTTTTAGCAGCATCGACCAGAATCACAGGCAAGCTACTCTGCCAATGGAAGACTGGCTGGCCCCTCTACCACGATATCGGACAAACTTGCGCGCCATGAACAAACATTCGTTTTTCCTTATGCCCGTAATTCGATGTGCCTGTTCGCGAAAATCGTAAACAATGAAAATTCACCCGTTTCTACTTTCCGTAAAATCATGTAACAATGAGATAATGTCTTTTTTACATTTATAATGTTAGCTTCGCTTACCTTATCAACGTTAGTCCTTATCAAGTTAGGTCTTACGTCTCTACCTCTCTTTAGACTCTCAACAACAATTTTCAAAGGTTTAACTGTTCTCATGTTCTTATCCTTGTTTAGATCTAGTATATGATAATCTTGACAATTTATTCCAATTTGACGGCACCGTCATACACATATCTGATCAGAATCATAAATTACATGTGTTACGCCTGATGAAACCAGCTTGCATTTTTCTTGGCGGATCGCATGTTCAAAGTCCACAGTTGTTTTCTCTATTTTCACGTAATCGTTTGGCAAACATCATGCAGGCGTATGTATATGTTCGCCGTCATTGGCGGAATTAAACGAGGAGTCGCGACCAGATCATTAATGTCCTGACCTGCCGGGTTAAATCACGTGTACGCCAATGTAGAGCAACTTCTTATAGACAAAATGTGAACTTTGGAACTTGTTTCGGTGTCGAAATAATTTAAGAAACATGATTTTTACCAAGAAAATTTTGCGTATCGTCAATTAATATTAGAACACTAAGGTATAAGTGATGTATCTGTATATATGTGCCCACATAGAGACACGTATCGTTTTCGTGATAAGCTTGCGAAATAATCGATCGAAAGTTGTTATGGTGGCCTTTTGCTATGTATGCGTCTTTTGCAAAATAATTCCTATTCCAAAAGTGCTACGAAAGAGAAACCAAAAAATATTAAGCAAGTGACATTTAAAATAAAGGAAAAGTGTTTTCGCTTTCTTTTTAATAATAATAATTTAATTTAAATAATTTTTAATTATAGTAAATTCATATAGTTAGATGTTAGATATACGAATTATAAACATTTATATATATATATATATATATATGTTTATATACATAGTTTAAGAAATAATATCACTGTACTTGACTCTTACAAGAATAAACTATTACGACAAATGTGCGTATTAAATAACCAAATAACAGACTAAATAACTTACTTATAAAATACATCAATTGTATAAGCTCTAAGCCACGTTTTGAATGGATATATATATACTTTTAACATAGAAAGATTTTCCGTATACATTTTTATAAAACTTATAAAAAAACCAGCACGCGTAGCTCTTCTGGAAATTTTCACGAGACTTAAAAATTTTCATAAAAACAACAGATAAAGAATATCTATATATTATGTTTACGATAATAAGACAATCATACACACGTAATTACGCCACGAGAAATGAGATTTTTTTGTTATTACATCTACGTAAGTAAATGTCAGAACCTTAAGTTATTAGATGATAAAAGGAAAAAGTATTATACATATATTAAACATGTATTTCTTATTACACGTGATAAATAATACTCCGATGCGTGATAGAGGTCACGAATGATTTGTAACAAAATAATATTGACTACAGTCGCGATTAGTTCCAATTTGTAAGCGCACGTTATTCATTAACATATCTGTGTAAACTCGTAAGTTTATTTTCTTATGCGCAAAAATAATTTTTAATTGAAGGAAAAAATGACTCCTAATTTACCATTTAAATACTTTCTAAGAAGAAAGACGATAATGTAATGCGATCATTGAGGCAATTGAGATGCAGAGTGAATATCACAGAAGAAATCGCAATCTTATTTGCTTATATGAATACCCTCGTCAATGTTCACGAGAGTTTATTGATATGATTGTGCGTTATTAGATAATTGCCCATTTAAATTCTAACATTCAACGAAGTTCTATCGAGTTAACTGGAAAGATAAAAGCCAGGTTCGTATACAGATCTGTCCTGCCTCTCTGAATAAATTCTTGAATTATATTTAAGCAAAATTTCCTCCTTTTATAAAGAACTCTTATTATTAAACAAACCGCTATTAAATGCGTTATTGAAACAAGAACACATCATATCTACGGTGAATTTTACAATTAACGATTTCCATGAAATAATAATTTCACTATGTAATTTATTCATACGAATAATCAGTTATCGTGTTATATAAACTAAAAAAAATTACGTTTCTATATTTTTTACATTTGTATAATTTAATAAGACTAATAAAATATGAGTAATAAAATAAGATTAATGAATACTCTTTCACAAAATTTTAATTTACAATTAATCCTAGATTTAAAAAAAGAAGATATTTTTAAAAAGCTATTAAAAAGTCGCAGAAATTGTTGCTTTTTATATCTCCATACTTTTTCTTTCATTAATTTATATTATGTTCGTTTATTTATAATATAAATTCGATGTGCAATATTCAGATATTAAAAACAAATTTGAAGAATGATTTGGTGCCTTTGGCAAAGACATTTATGGGACACTAAGGAGATGAAAAGTAACTTGTCCCTTTTAGTTTTGGCACAGCCTCGAATTCAAAGCAACCAAGGCGAGCTCTATTTTAAAACGATTGTCACCACGAATATCCACGTACAGGCCTGCGGTCACTGCCGTCCATTAACCGCAATAGAGAGAGAATCGTATCTCTAGAATAAAGGATAAAGTAAGATGGTAGAAACCGTTCAGCCATTGTTCTCCGAAAGAATTTTCGAGAATATAAATAAATAGAATTGCCATAAATAATGAAACGCTATATTAATAAGGACAGCAATGCAAAAATAATCAAAAGTAATTCGGCAATTTATATTTTCGATCGAAAGAGTTAGAATATGTATAAAAATGCATCATTTATATAATATAGTCTAAACATCAAGGAAATTGAATCATAGACTGAAATTCATACTTGACACAGGATGCACTCTCTTCATCTATTTCACTTGAATTAATCTTTAGCAGCATGATTCTCACTTTATATATTAGCATGATTCTCACTTTATATATAGTATATATTCCTTAATCAAATTTGTGCACGATAAAATAAAGTAATAAAAACAATAAAAATAATATAACATATATACATAAAAGTATTTATTATGTAATATACAATATTATATCTTTTTTATCGAAAAAATGTGGAATGGAAAACATTATGTTCAATACAACTGTAGATGCAGTAAGTATGCATATAAATATATTGTTCAGAAAATTCCAATTGAATGCGCGAGACCTGCATAAATATGTAACGTTGTTGCGCCCATGAAAAAAGTAGTAACGGCTTTAATAATTAGTGTTGACCATGGGCCAGCTAATAAAAGTGATGTAAGAAAGTCTAATACAAGCGGCCTGTACACTGTAAGCACGAGCATACCAATTACTATAGGAACTAAACCACGCCGTAAATCGTGCCTAGACCACAACCAAACCAATGTTGCAGTCGTTATATGTTGTACCTGTTAAAAACATATTACATAAGTCCAAAAATTTTTTTTATAAATAAAAGAACCGGAAAAAGCATGTTTAATATTAAATAGCTACTTCAATTTCTTATTAAATAAACAGTAAGTTTTTACCAGATTGATATTTGACTCAAGACTCTTTTGAATATATTTCCAATCAAACTCAGCACCACGAGCTCCAACCCAAAGTAACAAGAATCTTGTGAGCAACACTTCCGCTCCTGCCCATCCTATGCCAGCAGTTAATACTTTAGCATGACCTTTACCAGGAATACCATTTAGTACCAACAATATTCCTGCCAAATCCGCCAGATCAATAGATGATTTTAAAAATTCCTAAAAACATATTTTTATAATTAATTAAAAAATGTAAAATCTTAAAATAATGTAGGAAAAAAGATACCAAACCTAAATCTAAGAATGTAAAGTCTAAAGTCTTTTCTAATCAAAGTTAATTTAAAGAATTGAAAATGATTTAGATATATTACAATTTTATCTTGATTCTTGATTATCAGTATAATATTTAAAATAAAGATTTATCAATTAATTGGTCTACGTATTCACAAATTCATAAGTTTAAAAGTCTATGAAACCATATATTGAAAAATTAAAGAAATATAGATACTATATATTTTTTTAGAATATGAAATAATAATGTAATAGATTTGAACATTTTATTGCAAAGGGACAAAATTTGTTGGAAGAGAACTAATAATGCGTACCCCAAAAACATCAAAGCCCTCTTCTCCGACATTGTCAGCGGTTGGAAAAAATGTGGCAAGTGCCAACATCTTTACAAGCTGCGTAAAGATGTAAATACCACCTGCTTGGATGCATTTCCAGAAGGCACCGTATTCAGATCTGAAAATATCTCCCTTTACTACTTGCACCTTCTCTTATAAATCTAGGTTAAGAAATCTCAAAAATCTTTCTCGGATACTTACAAGCCGGAATATTTGTAGGTCAAATAGTATGGCACGTACACTAACGCCAAACAATTTCCAAAGTGATATAATGTCATTTTTCAGTGATGTTCAGTCAATTTAAAACATTATTGAAAAAAATTAAGAATTCATAATAGAATAATGAATGAGAACATCGTAACCAGTGGCATGAGATTGTAGAATTTTCTGACGCATGCGCGCTCTTAGCAGCTGATCACCTGACTGCTTTGACAGACGCGGAGACACGTGCTTCAACGAAGCGTAGAGTGCTTCTTAAAAATCTTAGAGGTTCCTAAAAATCTTTCATGTTTTTTGTTATTACTGAGATACAAATAATTATAATTATGTGAGCTTGTTATCTATGTTATGATATATGAAGCATATAAAATTATACTATTTATAAGTTATAAGAAAGAAAAAATGGAAAAAATAACAAAAGTATTAATCAATAATCTTATTATTTAGTTTTTAGTCGATCAAAAGATGTTTAAATTATTTTTCTTTTGATCTGGGATTATTTTATTACATGTAACATCACAGAATCGCTAACTGTGTTCGATTGCTGGAATTCGTATTCACAAGTCTCTTCTAAACTCTGTAGGTAAAGAGTAGTTCGATCTAATCAATTCTAACCTGCAAGTGTTTGATAAAAATGTCTTTTCTTATCTGTGGTGATTAACATATCAAACACATTTTGTCATGAAAAAATATAAATTACATTTAAGAGTAAGATTATTACATTATTTAATGATTCTCTTGTATGATACTATCTAAAAAAAGAAAACTATTTATTCTGTTAGGTTATAGAAAGTGTCATACAAACAACAGAGTACACAAATCTCTCTTTATAAATATAATAATTGAAATAATCACAATTAAATGCGCATTGTTAATCACATGTTAATTTGTCATGACGTAGATCTTTGTATTTCAAAAGAAACTATATTTTCTAATAATAAAATGTAGTAAATGGTTTTTCCAAACTTGTTAGAAACAAATAAACAAATATGTCACAATTTTATAGTTATAAAAAAGAACTCAGTGAATGTGACATACATCCTGACTGCCATTTTTCAGTTTGCCATTTAACCCCTTGTTGTAGCAAGAGATTTCTCTGATGCCACATACAGTCCCCTCTTTTATATTTTAACCCCTTTGAAAGGGGTATAGTCACCCCTTTCCCCATAAAAAAGGGTAGCTGCTAAAAAAGGGTGTTGCAGCAGCAAAAGTATTGACTATGATTCTTGAACAGTTTGTGACATATGTACATAAAAATCTTTGTATTTTCTATTTAAATATGTTGTAGACATAGGATATATAAGTATTTTTATGTTAAACGAGTTAAAATTCATCAGTAATGTTAATAAATTAAGTATTGATAGGATATCTATTGATCTTTGCTGCATAAGTATTAAACTGGTCAATTTTTTCTCCTGTTTTTAGTCAAAATTGATAGGGTACTACGCATGGGTCATGGGATTTAGACTGCTCCGTCAGAGCATGCTCCGTGTTCCAAAGACTGCCGTTTGCTATCCCTCTCCAACGTTTCTTGCGGAGGATAAACTCCTGGGGGTTGGTTGAGAGCTGCCTGTGATTGGACAGGATCGTATTGGACCTACCCCGCAGACTACTCTACATGGAAAGAGTAGCTCAGTTTGCCACAGGCTGTCGTTGAATTTGTTTGGCAGTGTGCTTCCTATCAAACAGTAATCAGGGTGTCAGAATTATTGCAAGTAGTGATGGTTTTGAATGTGCGTATTCCAAATGTACTATATTATTAAAAGTAGTGCTGATATATGTTTACAATTTATGAAGTGCTGTGAAAAAGCAATATTTTGTTGCATTTTATTTTTATACATACTTATATGTTCATATATATCTTCATAAATCATTTTTAATTGTTTAAAAAGAGGCATTGAATATTAAAAATAGGCATTGAAAAATTCTATATGAAGTTCACATCATAATTTTTATCTATATAAATAAATATTTAATCAAAAATACATACATGCTTTGCATATTTGAATAAAAATTTCTACTTTTATCATTTGGATATATTTAGATATATTTTGACAAACATTAAATATTTTATTGCTATATCTATTAAAACTACAATATAAATATATAATGAAATTATTGATTGCTCTCTTTGTTGAGGTGGTATTGGAATAAGCACAATAACATACCCTAATAATTTGAAAAGAAATTTTATCCCTTTCTGTCCTCCCAATCTTTTACCCCTTTTCATTCTCTAAAAAAAGAATACCCACCCTTTTCATTGATCAACTACCAAAAAAATGTGTACTGGAGTTTTAATGTTATATTGCAAAGGAGCGTTATTAAATAGATTACACCTTAAAAGAGCATTTTATATAAATACTTATTTATATATAAATAAGAAATATTAAGATTTTTATTTGGAATATAGATATATCATTTAATATAATTCAAGCAATATAATAGAATGACAAAATTGTTCTATCATATGAATATTTTTGTAATGAATTTAAATTAGATATGATATGTACATATAATCTAAAATTGCATTTTTTTATTTTTTGTGGGAGTGAGAAATGGGTGGAGCTTACATTCCCTACTGCTTTCCATACAAGACTCAGGAAAAAGGGTAGTCAGTTTTATGGTGGAACTCAAAGTGAAAGAATGTGTACTCTGTGACTGGTCTTTCAATCATTAAACAAATGTTTTTCAATATTTGTAGCATTTTTAGTTGATTTGTAGTATAAGTATTATGTGATTTTATTTCACTTTAGTTGATTTTACAATATAAATTGTATATTATATTTTAAATATTTTTGGAATATAGTATTATTTTTATTTATGTACATATTATAAAGTGTATACCACGACCAGAAGGTGAGTTAATTTATTTTAAACTGCCGTCTTTTAAAAAAATACATATATTTGTGAAAAAAATGAGTTTTTTGTAAATAAATATTAACCATGGCAGAAAGAAAATTATCATCATCAGGTTAATTTCACAATATAACGACATAATATGCATAATACGCTTGTTTTGTTTCTATTTGGAATTTTTATATATCAAAAAAATATAACAATGTTCTTTTTTGCAGTTTTCATATTTTATAATTGTATAGTAATGCATTTAGTTATATAACTGATCTTATTCGACAAATTCTCCTAAAAATGTTTTAATATAAAATCAATTTTAGAATTTTGTTACTAAAGTATATTTATGTGGTAAAAATAAGCATGATATATATTTCTATTGCATTTTCTTTGCGTTATTTTTGAACAAATCGATTTTTACAATACGCGTAATAAAGAGGTACGTAATTCAAATGATGTTCGTATGATGGCGCTAGAATTGATTTCCTACAACACATTTATCTTAGCAGTTTTGTAATTATAGTATGTCATAATTACAACAGATGACGCGATTAGTAGCTTTATAATACAAAACATAATTTTAAATCTTTAGTGTCTGTTAGTGTCTAGAGAAAGAGTCCATGATGTCGCTAATTTGTAACAGGTTTGTAAAATATTAACAATATATGACATACTTATGTATTTAAAGTAATTAGATATAGTTATGGTATCTTATACATCTTTATATTTTTTAGTTTTAATGTTTTTTATGAATGACCATCTCAAATATTTTAATCTTATTGTCCATCAATTTTAATACACGCATCTTCGGTCACAACAGAAAAATAACGAAAAATTTTAGTGGAATAATAAATAATAATGTACACAACACATTAGATAAGAAATGTTACTATTTTTTAATACTGTTATTATATATATTTGTTTTCATTTATTTATTTTAATTTAATGTCTTAATGTAGAACTATACTGAAGCATCATTAATTCTTTAAATCATGTCTTGTGTGATGTTTTATATAACTAATTCTTTTCTCTCGATCTTCCAAAGAAACTATTTTTCCCCACATTTCACCAATCGTGTACAAACAGCACGTTTGTCGGAACTTAAAGCTCTTGATGCTTCTCTTGGATTTATTTTGGATTTAGATGTGAAGGCCCGGATCCTGAGAGAGTGACGACATGAGCGTCTCTCTTTATTTCTCTCTCTCTCTCTCTCTCTCTTTCTCTTTCTCAGCTCCGAATTCTGCGCTTTTGTCATCTCCCTTTTCCTTGATGGACCACACATTCGATGAGGGCGTGTTTGCATTTCCCTCCCTGGGGATGCTTACGGGACGGCGCGCAATTTCGGAAAGCCGATTTCAATTCCGCTCTCCTTTTTACAGGGAGAAACGAGAGCTCGAGTGCGGGCCGCGCGGGATTACGGGAATCGCACAGACAGGCCTGTGAACACGTGCGAAAATGCTCGTGCCTCGACGTTTGCACCCTTGGCATCGATCGTCCTCTCGCTTAGCGTGCTTTCCGTCGTCGGAGAAAAATCCGATCTCTTCATTCCTCTCCACATCCCTCCGGTAAGTAACACACTTAACTTGCAAGAAAAGTGCATGCATACCAAGATAGATTTAGCGGCGATATTTTTTTATAGATCTGTCAGAAATTTGAATAAGAAAGTGATAAATCACAAAATGTCCACTTTTCTTTTACATCCAATCATATGTCGTTTGTATAAGATTGATTATATATCAAACCTTAAAATCGTTTTCTCTTCACTGTTTTTTCGTTATGTACAACTAGAAATGTTAAATAAATGCAAATTATATATATCATTAGAAAAATCGTCGCGTAAGCTGCGTTGTTCGTACATTGAATAAGCGATGGTCGGTCGGTTCTTCACTCAGATACTTCTCCCATTGACGTCAGTGTATAACGATGAGCTTCATTTCCGGTTCCGGTCTTCATGATTTTCGCACCGTCAACTCCATTCTTCCTCCGGTACTCCACCTCCGTATATTAGCTCTCTCTTCTCCCTCGCACAAATCGAAGGTTTCCACTTTTCTTTATGTCGATTCTTAAATCTCGATCTTTTAAGGATCGCTCGATTTTGTCGTTTCTTGCGCGAGAAGCTTTTCACAAATACTGTTCATTGACATATGTATTTTTACGTGGCACAAGAGAGATACCGAAGAGATATATTAAAATGAATATATCTCATAATGAGAAAAGAAATAATATAATATACAATAGAAAAAATGATAAGACTTTTTTTTAACGATTAGAAGAAAATAGAAAATTCAGAAAAAGTTTTCTATCTTTGTCTTTATCTCTATTTATTTTTTTCTTTTTTCTTCTGTTTTACAGACGTTGGCATATTCTTAAGTTTTATCAACGCCGCGAGACATGGTAAACTTTAAAACCATGTTTCTTATCTCCGTGTGCAACGCATAAACACATTTTTATATAACAGAAAAGTTGATGTATCTTTCCCACTCGGAGGGAGCACTATACAGGAAAGAATAACGTTCTTTGTTCAGGATTCTCGGCGAAGTTGTTGATATTCCATCGGCGCCTTCGTCCTTCTGGGACACAACCCCTCCTATCATCTGACTTACCTCTTCTTTCACTGTGTTTTTCGGTTCTGTAATACTAAAAGAGTATCAATACGAGGAATCCTCGATTACGTTGTAGGAGTTTAATAAGACGTCGGTTGAATCGGAAACCTTTAAGCGATTTTCTTCGGAGACTTTTGAGCAATACGGAAAAGATGTTCAAAGGACATTTGAAGAGTGCCTACGAAGTTACAATGTCTATTAGATATATTTCTGGATTTTTTATGTTGCTCGATTTTTTATTTCAATAAGAAATTTGCACTTGTTACGAATGAACACATCAAGTTACTGTATTTGTTTTCAAGGATAAAACCCAGATTTGCAAAAATCACAAACGTATATATTAACTCTCTTATTTTTTAAAATTCAGATACTTATATACGATATCGTATCGAAATATGATACGACGGTCGCTAGATACACCGGTATTCTATCAAGCGGCATATCGGGATTGCACAAGAGAATTGCGATGTCTATTTAATAGTAATGAAGTCGGGGAATAGAAAGAGAGAGAAGACGGTTTCAGAGCTGTAAAGACGCTTAATGAAGTAGACATCGGAGAGCGCGGCGTAATTTCCAACCGAGCTCTCTGATTGGCCATTAAGTCGCGATTTGCATATTTGAAGCGGGAAAGAAAAAACGGCCCGTCATGCGGATGAAAAAATTTTTAACGGGCATCCCTTTATCATTTAATGTTTGAAACGATGTTGCACGGAAATGACTCTAATTGAAGAGATGTAATTGGCGGATGTACAAAGGTGAATAAGGCTCGTCGGAGCAGTCGCGCCGTCATCGATATTCCTGCGCGGCCAATTAATCATTAATCTTCGCGCGGTATTGATACTTTCTTCTCGTTTTAATCGAGTAAATGTTTTATTATACAGATATTTGATGTTAGACTTTATACAAATAGAGTATCTATACGCAATAAACAAAATTAAAACTCACGTAAATTCTTACAATATAAACTTAATAGTATATATGCTTTTAAATTTAATTATGTATGCACTCTATATAAAGTATATAATATAATTAAAAATCAGGAAAGAAATGTTAAAATGCATTCAATATAAAATTTTTGCTGTCATGTATAGATTATGTCTAAAGCAAAATTATTGATATCACTGATATACACAGTTTTATATGCTCGTATGTATAATGACAGATAGAGAGTATTGATTTTTTGATATCATTTTTTCTTTTAAATGTGACATTTAAAAGGAAATTTTATCAACGATGAAGTTATTTTTAATATTATTATTTGATCACTTTAATCCTTCAGCGATGTAAATAAAAATGCAAAGCGAAGCATCTCGTATTCCTTCCGCTACATAGCTCGATGCTGTCGTGGAATATTGGCCATTAAACATTATTGAAGAATGCTTTTAACATTTCAGATATCGCTAAGTTGTTTGAGTTTCGGTTATCGGCCCTAAGGACTGTCCTTAAAAATGTGCCGTAAACGGGCCCGAATGAAATAGAAAAAGGAGACGAGATCGAGAGAGCGAGTCGTCTCTAACTTTGTAAGGGTGCTTCGCGCTTTACCGGCTCGACCAGCGGCCAATAAAAACTTTACAGCCCCGTAATGAATGCAAGAAATAATTATCTCATGAATACATTAGTTTTAGTATCTCCCGACACGCGGACACACGGCCCGTAAAAGCGCCATTGGATATCTTGACCTACGATTTCCAGTGCGTGCCCGCTTCACTATGATCCTTAATCGCTCTTTTTCTCTTCCTTGCCGTCCGCCTGTTCTTCCTCTTTCCTTCCTTCCTTCTTCCCTGCCTTCCTTTCTTCTTCCCTTCCTTCTTTCTTTCATTCACGGCCGCTGATATCTTGCAGAAGAGAAAATATGTATTGCAACAAGTATTATACATTTTCGATACAAGATTTTGATAAAAATAATTAACATATCATTTGCGATAAAAAGCAAAAAGATTGTCTTTTGATAAGACATAATTTTTATACGTAACATATTTTAATAGCCATAAAAGTATTATTGATATAATAATAGCGGGTATTTTCGCGAACATTCAAGTAATGATAAACCACGCGCGGATAATGTAGATAGATCGCGTGGAAGATGCATTTAATTGAAGAAGAGACCGTATCGTTTTGGCTGTATCGGTGAAAACCCTTTACGTGAATATCCTGAGCGGGTGGTGAAGTGGGAGGCGGGGGTGGAAGGGCGATGTCAGTTGGATGGAAAGGGAGGTGCTGTGGCACGGAGTGATTGATCGTCACCTCGCGACACCCTCGTGTTCTCGTAGAGTGGATAAAGGGGTGGAAAAAGGAGTGGAAACCCTTTCACGCTTTCACGGATCAGTCACAGGATCACGTTCTCCGTGCCATCCCTTCGCCTCTCGATGTACACGGTACATGCATCACCCTGCCATCCGCTTCTACTTCCCTGACTCGTGCGTTTGCTCGTGTCGATGTCGCGAAGATCAAATCTGCAAACTATGCGCGAAAGAACCGCACCCCCAGTCGTGTGGTTTATCGATCCCGCGGTTTTGTCGATGATATCAATTTTTACAGATTTTTACGCCCGCGGCAAAAACATGTTGATAAAATAGGATGAGAATACAATTCAATAATTCGTGTACAAGAAATGTGAAAAGTCATTTGATGCTTCTCTCGCATATTAAATTTTTGACAATTTAGCGACGGTAATTTTTATTTTCGCGACGCATCTCTGTCGAATTTATCATGTTTTCGAAGGAACGATGCGAGAAGAATGTCACCATCATTTACAGGACGCATGCTTCATCGGAAGCGAATGGGTAGATGACGGTGGCTCATACATCAGACACCTAATTCCTCCTTTCGCTCGAGTGTTAACTCTTATATCTTACCCATTTAGAAGTTCCATTTGGCGGTGTCCGCGCGACCGACCGCCTTGTCATTTCCAAATTGACGAGCCACTATGTGTCGCTGATGTCCGCAATTTTCTAGCACACTGGAATTATCTGTTGGCGAAACCAGCAACTTACCAAAGTGTTTTTCGCGCGTGCACCTCGTCTTAACTTTCTTGATTATGTTGACGGGCTTTGATTGAAAGGGTGAAAGAGAAAATCTATTACATGAATCAAGGATTCTTAAAAGCTATCTTTGATTCGCATGTGAGTCTTAAATACGGCTATATAATTTTCTTTAATATTTAGAAGTTTCTAATTATATAGATATATATTACTATTTATAT